CGGAGCCGCAGGCGAGGACCAGCAGGCCGCCCCGCGCCGTACCTCCCGGGTGGTGACCTCCTCCTTCTCGGAGATCTTCAGCAGCAGCCGGTCATTCTCCAGCTCCAGCGCCCGCACACGGTCGATGTAAACGGCCAGGCGGTCATTGAGCTGCCGCAGTTCCTCCTTCTCCTGCAGGCGAGAGATGCGAGTCGGCGATAGCGGGGTCCCGCCGGGGGTGCCGCGGCTTGGGGTGCCTGACATGGCGCTCAATTCGCGGGCGGGCGGGCAGCGGGCTCATTCAATCCCGCCGCACCGTGGGAGGAGGCAGCAGTAAGATGGCGGACATCGCCTCCCCCGCCGCCGCGCCGCCTGGGAAATGGAGTCTCGGCGCCAAGATGGCCGCGCCGCAGGGCGCGCCGGGAGCTGTAGTCCCGGCCGCCCTCCATTTCGCGGGCTGCCCGGCGGGCCCGAGGCTGCTCCGCATCCAAAAAGTACGCTGTCGCGAGCGTGAGTAAAGCGCAGAGAGGCCAATCTTGAAGGCAACGGTTTTTTTGGTAATAAAGCCGGGAGAGCCGAGAGCTGCCCGCCAGGACTGCTCCTCACAGGCTACCCGGCGGCCAGCACCTGCTCCCGGGGCTGGTGGGTGCGGGTCACCCCGCGCGTCCCCGGCCTGTCTGAAGCCCCCGGCCTCCCCCCCACGGCCTGGGCCACTGGGTGCACTGGAGAGTGACGCTGGTGCTCACCGGGTGACCGGCACCAGCACAGTGTTCCTCTCGCAGGGTGTATTTTCACACCAGGTGTCTAAAACAGCTTGCGCTCTGTAGGGTGTTGCCCCCCTTGGCTGCTGCCAGCGATGTTCCACAGGCCTGGGACCTGCCGTTTGCCTAAATGGGGGGCAACTGGGAAAAACCACCCGTCAGTTCTTTCCAATGGTGAATACTTGGGAGTGCTGGTTTCCAGATTTTAGAAATTTCTTTACTGAGATGCCAGTCTCTGATCAGGCTGTTCAAGGATGCTCTCCTGAAATCCTCTCGCTGTCCCAGGGAACGCAGCCAGATTTTGAAAAAACTAAAATCCACTGGAAAGCTTCCTAAAGGTTTGGAGATCGTTTTCCCCAAAATGTATTTTTACTGAATATGCCCCAACTTCTGGCAGTCTTTGCACGTTAACAGGGATAGACTGGATTACCATTCCCATGAGCTAATTCCTTGTGTCCCAAAACTTTGGAGGCTGAAAAGCCTTTACTACTGTAGTGTCTTTTGGCTGCCTGGGAAGGCTAAGGAAAGGGAGATCTTCTGCCCAAGAAATAGAAAAAAGAGATTCAAAGTCTGTCACCCATACACATGGACATCAAGTTAAAAAAGCAGCATGAGTATAATGCAAGGAATGTGCCTGAGGGGGAGGACGGACCCCGGCAGAGAAATGGGAACAAGAGTGAGAAAATACTGCACATAATAGATGGAAAGAAACTTGGGAAGCCGGTTTGAACAAATAGGTGAAAATGGGTTTATCCTCAAAACAGAAGCTATACAATCCTCATGTCAGAGCACCTGGTATCCTGATACACCTCAGACTGGAAAACCTCGGAATAAATCCAGGAATTCTGGACGCTCAATACCCTTGTTGGCAAATAGCTCTAAGTTCCTCCTGCCATCACCATGTGTCTTCAGCAGCTGATCCGTGTACTTGGTAGGTTGTATTTATTTAAAAATATGCATCCGATATGGAAAGGGTTGTCCTGGCTTCCTCTGCAGAGGATGGAGTGCCTGTCCCACCAGGCTGGGCCATCATCTCTCCAGGGGCTGCACCAGCCCCACTGGCCCCTCTGTCTCCTGCTGAGACCTGAGGATGGGGACCCCCGCACCGTGACACGGGGACCCCGCACAGTGACGCCGGGCCACCAGTGGGTCACCCAGGGGGAAGTTATGAAGGATGGCTCCAGTGAGAGCAGCTGATGGATCAGGACACGCACACCTTCTGTGGGTGCTGCCACACTCACCCGGCTGGAGGCCGCCGTTATCAGACCTGTATCTGTGACAGCTGATAACTGTGACTGTACAGCTCCAAACCTCGCTTTGTGGCAGAATTCAAGTTGTTTCTGCCCCGAAGGAAAAAATTCTTCACGGAAGGAGTGGTCAGACACTGGAATAGGCTGCCCAGGGAGGTGTTGGAGTCGCCATCCCTGGAGGTATTTAGGAAACATGTAGACAGGCACTTCAGGGCATGCTCTAGTGCCCGAGATTGTTGGGTTGTGTCTGTCTGTGGGTGGGTGTGGTGTGAAGGTGTGGGATTTTTTGTTGGTTTTTTTTTAGGTTTTTGTTTGTTTGGTTCGGTTTGGTTTTTTTAATTTTTTGTTTTGTTTTGTTTTTTGTTTTGGTTTGGTTTTGTTGGTTAGTTTTGTTTGTTTGTTTGGGTTTTTGTTTGTTTGTTTGTTTGGGTTTTTTTTTGGTTTTTGTGTGTGGTGGGTCTCAATGATCTCAAAGGTCCCTTCCAACCCTGAGTATTCTGTGATTCTGTGAGGCGGTTGAGTCACCGTCCCTGAACGTGTTTAAGAATCGTTCAGACGCGGTGCGGGGGCATGGGGTGTAGGGGAGAACTTTGTAGAGTGGGGCTGGTGGTTGGACTCGATGATCCCGAGGGTCTTTTCTGACCGGATGATTCCGTGAGTGTCTCCGGAGAAGGCGGGGAGAGCAGAGACTACAAGTCCCGGCGAGCTGCGGCCGGTGCCGCCTCCCCACCGCCCCCGGCCCCGGCCCTTTGTCGCTGGAGCGTTTTTTGAATTTTGGCGCCCGTCTCCAAACTGTGACCCAGGTGCTTCCGGGGGGGGGGGGGGGGGGGGGGGGGCCGGTCGCGGCCCCGGAATGCTCCTCGGTGACCTTGGGCAGCGAGCGCGGCGCCGGGGGGCGCGGGGGGGGGGGGGGGCGGGGGCTGGCTCCGGTCCGGTACCCGCGGCACGGTCCCTGCGCGCGCCCCCGGTGCCTTGTGCCGAGCGCCGGAACGCGCCTGGAACGGACTCGGTCTCTCCCAATGGGCCGTTTTTCCAACACCAGCAAATCTGTGGAATGCCACTTACAAGCTTTGGTCACGTTAAGCCACCAAAAATAATCTGTTTCAGCGAATGCTGAAACTCTGTAAGCATTTTTGGGTTTGCTCGTTTCTTCCCCCGTGATTTGATGTGACACTCTGTGCATCTGCCATATTTGGGAAATTCTTTTAAACTCACTGCTTGATTTTGATGGATAATGTAATTCAGATATAAATCCCCTTTGTTTATGAAGTTGAGCCCAAACTCCCCCATTATTTTGTCCATCAGATTTTTTAAATAATGGCCTAGAAACTGTGTCAAGGGTTTGCTTTTAGTTTGGGGTTTGTTTCAGTTTGTTTCGGTTTGTTTTGGGGTTTTTTGCCTTCTAACGTTACCAGGTATTTTTATAGGGTTGCTATAAACTGTCTTGCAGTAAAATCTTTTTTTTCTAAATATACTTCCTGAAATAGCCTCAATAATAATACCTAATATTTTCTACATTTTTTTAGAAGGTCCCTTTCTATAGCAGTAACCAGAACGTGCACACTTTGATCCTTGTCACCAGCCTCCTCTCCCTGTTAACTGAACATGTATGTTCGCTTTTCCTGTCTCTGCTAAAAAGAAGAGAGCAGTTTGGGAAGAGGAAAGAGTCAAGGGAGGAGGTGAAGTGCAAAAGCTGAGAGCCCACTTGCCAACTGTACTTTCCAGGGAGTAAGATGCCTGCTGTAGTCGTGGAATCAATGTCTGCTCAAATGCTGGTCCTCTGGGATGGCTCTGGTGATACAGGTTAGTACTGAACCAGTCAGTGTTGGTTTCATTAAGGACCTTGACAGTTCACTGCTACCCAAAACAATTTTATAGTAAACTCCCTCTCTGCTTTCAGAAGATTTGATTTGTTCACCCAGGACACGATTATTTAGTGTTTAACAAAGGGACATCTAGGGACTTGTCAGCCTTACCTGACTGGGGTGGCAGAGGGCTGTGGCAATCCCCAGGGCTGTCTTCCCTGGACTTTCCAGATTGGGAACCTGTTGGAAGCACACCAAGGCTCACACACCCCCAGCTTCACTCCGCGTGGAAAGCAGAGCACAGGAGAAAGCTGGTGCATGAACAGGCATCATCTTGATATAAAGTCAGGAACTTGGAAGTGCCCTGGACTAAATCTCTAGCTCAAATATCTGACTGCCTGGGAAGGATAAGGATAAATTTTGGGGATGTTGGAGAACACAGACAGCTGTGTGCTTCTCCCATCAGATAAGTGAAGGGATTATAGTACATAGTAAAGACAAAGGAAGACCTCACATATCCTTTGATGCAGAGTGTCTTCTCAGTCGTTGACCAGTTTCCTGTACAGTTGGGTGTAACAAGTTTTCTGACACTGTGTGGGATTTCATAATGACTGTGAGGTTTTCACAAATCTGGGGATGCAGGATTTCCAGTCCTATTTCCTATCGCAACTGCTTTAGTTTCTCAGCAGCTGCTGCCACGCCCTCCCCTTTCTCGTTCTACACTTGATTATTTGTATGCCTATAATAGCTGGATTATTTCTGTCTTTTCTGTAGTTGATTCTGTAGTTTACTTCCCGTCCGCCTCACATTCCTTATCTCACTCTGAACAGCCTGTCAATATTTAATCAATTGTCTCAGATATTTTCATTAATTTCAGGGAGGGGCAAAGATTGAACATGTAGCACGGAACATTTTCCTGTCAGTCCAAATTCACAGCTCAGCATTAGTGATGACTCCAAGTCTGGAAGAAGCACTCAGACCTCACCACAGATTTCTGTTCCAGAATTTCAGCTTTCATGGAATAAAATTGTTTCCAGCAGTGTTGGGACAGAAAGCATGAAAGTGGACAAAATGAATAGTACGTCATGTGTCATACATGAGATCTTCCTCATCTGCTATGAGAAAGTTTGCTGAGAGACATGTAAAAAAGAGCAAAAAGGAACAGAGTGCACAAGTGTGGGATTAAAGCAAACAGACAGCAGACTGTATGGACAGCAGACTCTATGTAGAACAAGGATTTTTTTTCACGAGAAGACACCATGCTGTGATGAGGGTGTATTTATTTCTAATTCCAGGCAGATAGCGTTTGACAGGAGCCTTAAATAATAGTAATAATATTCTTCTGCTATAGCATTTACCTCCTTACTGAGGCAGAATTCAGCCTGTATCATGCTGGGGCGAGTGTTAACCAAGCCTGGGCAGGAGAATTCAGGTCTGTGCTTGGGATTGTTTGCCCCTTTGTGGCAGGAAAGCGAGTGACTTTCACGGTCAGGAGGGCCTGGGTCGCCCTTTAGACTCTTGTACTAGAACCAGACCCTGGTCTCATGCGACCAGAAAGAAATAAGAATTTAATTTTAAAACCCTCT